GCTTTCCTCTGGCGTGTCACGTCGTTGTTGTGCAAGAATAAAATTGAAAATCAGTCCCTGGCCTGCAAAGTGATCGTCTCTTGGGACCATGTCAGAAAGCCGTACTTCTGAGGCGGTGGAGATGTTCTTACGTGGACAGCCCTGATGTGTTGGTCATGGACTGCATGCTCTCAACATCTATAGGGTTGTCGATACTCTGGCCTTTGATAATATGCAAGTTATTGAGGACTTGGTGTTTGTCGTCACTCGGCGTGTCCGGGGGCTTTAATGGTGAAGCGTCTCTATCGCTAGGCTGTGATGGTAGCTTGGTGGTGGTAGAGTTTGAGGGTTTGTTTCGCTTGTACTCTCGGGCTGCACGCCAAAAGACTTTGATCATGAGACGACGTATCCTGTTTGAGTCAGCGATAGCTCATGTCTGAGGAATACTGTATGTTTAGTCCGTCTGGGCCTGGGCACTCACCGAGAAGAGTCTTTAGAATACTCAAGACACCTTGTGTTGACAGATTTATGCCTCGCAGGCCAGAACTCAGGCCCCCTTCCCTTAGTATCGAGAAAGTCTTTAGTGACCTCTTGGAGTCCTCTCTGGTGAAGAGGCAACCTCCACTTGGTGAGTTTATATGCGGGTAGTTTGGTGCTAGGAGATACGAAGGACTCGATCTGGGCTCTGATGGCCCTTTTAAAGGCAATGTCCTGTTCTTGGCCTGGGTTGCCGTAGCCAAGGGCCTTGCGAAGTTCTGTGAGATGGGGGATAGTGGAAGTTTTTGTAGTTTTGAAGAGTCTGTCGAGGACTTTGGGGGGGCTTCCCTGGCCTTCGACTGGTTCCATAGTGTTGGCAACAGAAATATATATCTTTGAGGCAAACGTGTGCATCATTTGTATGTGTAGGTAGGTCGCTTTTCAGGTTGGGGACGAATCTTGCCTGATCGACCGCCGATTGAGAGATTGCCTTATTAGGGACAGGAACACACTTGAGCACTCAGTAAACTACCATTTCATCTGAGGTGAGTGCTAAGCTTTTGGTCCGAGTTGAAACCAGGTGAGATTTCTAATGAACATGCGCTTGAACTCTGGCGCAAGCATCCGTAGACCGTGGAAGGATAGGGGGATCCGCGAACCATCTCGGGGGCCGTAACGAGGCAGATTCGCGATAAATTTGCGTTCAGTTTCAACGAGACCTCAATTACTTTCCCCTGGCTCACAGGTATTTGGTTGGTACCCGTTGTGTGGCTCAATTTCTCAGAGTGTCAGTCGCTCGATTAACCCGTTCTCAATGCCATTGTCTTGAAAGGCCAGCTTCTCAATCACCACCTCAAACTACTCACAGTGTTGAAACTGTTTTACCCATTCAATTACAATCCATTTTATCTCTTGCACAGTGAGCAGAAAAATCGAGTGTACATTCTGTTACTTGTTCTGTCCAACCAGACTGTCGCCTTGTTCACAGAACCAACAGCCAACATGCATATTCACAAACCGCAGCAACAGGGGTATTCAATAAAAATGTAGAAACTCCACTCCACCATAACGGGCTGAGCGTGCTCTTCCGAAGCATCTTTGCTCTTTTCTCCTCCCAACTAAAGCCATATTATTGGTCCCATTACCATAACTGCGGCCTCTATATAGGCCTGACAGGGGGGCTGCTAGGAGTTTTGGTCTACTAAATTGCTTATGATACTAATTTCAATAGGAAGACTCTAGAAGCTTACTAGGGTTAATTGCTATCTCTGGAAATGTTTCAGCTCGTCCCAAACGAGGTGAGAATGGTACCAATCTTGGCTCCTTGACTCCTTGACTCCTTGACTCCTTGACAACTGTCACTCTTGCGGGCACCATGACCAGCTCACCGTCTTTTGTCTCATAAAATCTGCTTGAAAGTTTTGTTTTGCTTTTTCCTCGTTGACGTGTCAGGGCGAGGACAGGAGTCGGCATGAACACTGCAAGATCCTGGCAGTCACAGATCGCGACTGTCCACCCACACTCTATCGTATCCCTTCAATGGTAACTGACACAGATCATCTTAACTTGAGAAAACTCTTCAAGTCAGATCATTGTGAAAAATGGCACCATCCAGTCTCCCTTGTCGTCATCTGTTCCAGCAGGGCAGCGTGAATCTCCAGGTTCTCAGCTCATAAGGCTATCTATCTAATTTTAGACAGCTACCGAAAGGTTCCAAAGCTGAGTAGACTCGGTTCTTTCTTAGCAAACTCCGCAATAGTAGTTTAAATGTGCGGTAGACTCTGGCATGTTGCATTGCTATTGTGAGCATTGAGTACCGACAGCAAGGCAACGGGATCTCAAAGGGGAAATCGCCGGACTCTGGGGTCAAGACTCTGCCGTGCATCATCTGGCTCCTTGTTCCTGAAGACAAGATACCTAACATTGTAACGCTTCTTCCAAGCCCTTGTATTAAAGGTATCCCAGCAACCCTCCACAGCAACAAGATGCTATCCGGACTTGTATCTCCTGCCTCCTTAACAGTGCACATACAGATGCAGGTCTTATCTGGCCCGTGCCAAATAATTCATCTCCTTCTTCCTGGTCATGAAACAAGAGATGCTTCCCATGTCCTTGGATCAGAGGCTGCAGCTCTGGGGCGCGAACCACTACCAGACGGTGCCTCGAGTTAAACGGTACCTCGAGTTAAACGGTACCTCAGAGTAAACGGTACATCAACTTAATCCCTGTATCCTCAACCATCCAGAAATAATATGTCACAGTAAGAATAGCACGGATGGTCGCTGTGGCCGCCCATTCATTCTTGCGTGTTAGTGAGTGACTTGCATCATGTGCATAAGAGTTATGAAACGAGATCGCCATATGCATAACCTTCATTGCACAAATCCCTTCTTTTGCTGAGACAGAAATGTTGCAAGAGCGTTCCTAATGTTAACTACTACCTATTGAGTAGGGAATGAACACACTCCTTTTCTCAAACAAGTCAAACGATTAGTATGGAACTCCCTCAAGACAATATCAATCATCACACTGATTGGTTTTTTCATTTCTAGTTATAAGATGGACTCACTTACATCAAGATCTCAAGACTTTGACATACCATTTTCAGGTAGTATCTCCAGGGTAGACAGCCGGTCAATTGAGGAGCACCAGAGCACATAGGAAGACATCCACTACATATGCTCCAATTCTTAACTACCATAAGCCAATACAAGCAAGTCCTAGTCATTTCAAGACTCAGTCATCATTGTAGTAGCCAGTCAAAGCTCTCTTCACCTTTAGCTTACAGTCCTTAGTCATACTGCACATCCATTCAGCCGCAGCTATATATACCGACTCAATATTCCACAGACAGACACAGTGTATATACAACATGTCTATAAAATGCCCCATAGTAGAAGCACCCGAAGCTCGTTCCACACCCCGAACAAAAAAGGACAATGGCAGCTGGTTATCTGCCGATGGGCCATACCTCACTTACATCAAGCAAAGCTGTTCTCGACAGCCCAACCTCGAGTTACCCGATGGACGCAATCGTGCTGTTATGCTGTGTGATAGACAGCATGTTCGAGCGACAGTTCTTGAGTTGGATAGTCAAGGCAAAATACTGTCGCCTGCGGAATTCCCTCATGTTGCACAACTGAGGAATCATTTCTCTCAGCTGCGAAAGTTGCGTCAAGATGGCCAAAGTCACCGGATGATCTATCTTGTCGAAGGCTTAAATACAGAAGTTATAGCACTTTTAGGTGACGAACTCCAGATCGACCCTATGTTCTTTGTCACTCATGAGAGAACGTCGACATATCTGCGATGGCCGTATGAACCCAATCTAGCACCGTGCTTACCCTCACTCATTGACGGAAATCGATCATTTACTGCAAGCTACTACGACATTCGAGCTCTTCGCGAAGAGTTCGGGTCCTTCAGTGTAGGATGTGCAGAATCCGGAAGAGACGCCTTGAGGACGAAGCTCGGCAAGGATTGGGAGCCTACAGTTATCCTTCACCGAAAATGTTCATTCTGGAAAACGACATTTTCTAATGAAAACGACTGGAGTAGTAAGTTGCTGTTTATTACCATAGTCCGAGAATAGTCAAATTGATATGCTGTAGTTTTAATCCTCTGCGATCCACCCTTTCGAAAAGCTCATATATGGCAAAAACCACAGCCAAAATCTGAGACGTGGTCACTCAAGACTATAGAATTTTCTGCACCTCCGTTCCAAGGAGGATATGCAGATTTCATCCCCAGTCCCTGGACTGTACGGAGCAGAGCATCAGGGCCTTCACGGGATTGTTTATATGACGACCTGCTTCACTATTACACCGAATGCTACAATGACATATCTGCCAGGCAAGCAGTTCAGCTAGACATGACTGTTTTCATGAGGAAGATCATAGCGTCTCATTACATGCTTTTGATCGAATACCACGACGCGCTTCTATCGACAATGGCCTTTCCTCTGCAGCGAAAAGACAATTTTGCATCTGTCCAGACAACATCTCTCGAGGCATCGTGGAGCAATATCCAACTTTTATGCAGTCGACTCAGCAGATATATCAAGGATGTTTCACAAATAATGCTACAGCTGCACATAAAATTTGACGATCCCGTAGTTCCAACCGATCACACACAGTGGACGGAATCCGAGTCAGATTTTCAGTACATTTATATGAGATTGCAATCTCTCAGACAAAGAGCAGAGTTTCTGAGCGAGTCGCTCACTGGAGTTACGGGTATCAATGGAGCTGCCAGGTCGATTCGCGAAGCCAAGACTATCAAGACGTTTACTATTGTCGCGCTCATTTTTATTCCCTTGTCATTCTCCACGAGTCTGTTTAGTATGTCTGAGCGGTATTTGCCTGGCGAGAAGAACTTTGGGGTCTTTTTCAGTGTGTCGCTACCACTCTTGGTATTCATTTTTGCTGTCATACTATTGTTTGATCTGGGATATGATGAGAATAGTAGTTGGACGTTCAAGACATTTACAACCAGAACATGGAGGTCATTATTCTAAGAATATTTCGAATAGACAGAAACTGCTGTCACATCTCATCATCTACATACACATCTTCACCATCCTCTCTTCCCTCTCCATACAAGACCTCGCAAACGCCCGCCAGCGGAATATCCATCACCGCATCCGTTCCCTCGCTCCAAATCTCCCTCCATCTCAATCTCCCATCTCCATGCACCCTTCTCTCCCTATTGCGACTCCCCCTCAATCTTCCCTTCGCGTCAATCTCCGCCAACTTACCCGCCCCATCCACGACAGTCTCAACACTGGATAGTGGCACTGTCAGCATCTCTGTATTGAACGCAGCGAGAGCTACGTAGATGTACACCACTGTCATGACGATGAAAGCCGGTATGGCGAGCGCCCACCACCGGTTGGGATAGTAGTTTATCCCCAGGGCGTGCAGAAATGGTGAAGGGAGATAACCCCAGAGGAGGTAGATGAGGAATGTCAGACTGCTGAAGAGATACAGCACAAAGCCGTAGTATTCGTACGTCGGCACCTTTGGCGCGGCTCTAGGCACAGGCGCGATTGCATCGTCATCAGATGCGTCTGGTGTTGTTGGCCGTGAAGGGCGTAGAAGAGATGTGAGCGAGGGTGAAGGGGGCAAAGGCGTTGGAGGTCGCCCATAAAACGGAGGCGCAAACAGATTCTGCGACAATTGCCGTGGGGGAGAATCTTCGTCTTCTCCGGAAGAACTGGCTGATTGGGCGTCTGAGAGGATATCGTCCTCGTCATCTGAGCTGAGTGACATACTGATTGTGATTGTGACTTGTCTGTTTCTGTATCAAGAGTGTACCTAAGGTAGGTAGTTTTGAAGTGTCAAGTTGAGGTTCAGGGCACTCAGTTGAGTTTAGGCCAGGTACCCGCTACAACGGGGCTGTTCTAGTGCCTCGTCTAGCACGTTCAAGGTTCCGGAAAGCTTAGTCTATCCGCACGACCTTAAAAATCATGAAGCGATTGAACTACAGAACTGAAAAGTACAATAACAGGAAATAGGCTATGGTCTGGATTGCTTCTTGATTATATTTGATTACATCCACTATTTTATAAGGCCAACACCAAGCATCCATGTGCCCATAGCTGCCACTAGGTCGATCTTGACCACTCTCCTCTCCGCTACCCGCACTCTGATTAAGCTACCTATATCCCAAGAGTCATCATCATTAATCAACATCTTTAATATCTAACTATGTCATACACTTTGTACAAAAGAGCCCTCTCTTGAAGAATACTTTAACTCTCACCCATCAATAGGGCATCTATACTCTCTCTCAACAACACCTACCACTCCATTCTGCTGCCTTTCCTGCAACTCATCCAGACAGCTCTGGTGATATATGTGCCGGCATGCCAATACTACCAAAGGCCCCATAGGCTTGTCCTTATTACTGCCCACGCTGCTGTTGGCGTTGGTCTCGATGAGCATGCTCGACGGTCTCGTGTCGACTCCCTTACCCTTAGCCTTGAGTTCCGTTTCGCCATCATCACCCTTGGCGCGCTCCGCTGCGTTGGCCTGCCTTTCTTTCCTTCTCTTTTCCTCAATAGCCTGTTTATCCTCCCACGCCTCAAACACTGCTGTTCCAGCGACTCCAGGTCCCCAGACTCTTCGGCTGCATGCCTCACACGTTGATCCTCTTGGTCGCCATCCCCTTTGACGAAGCCCAACTGATTGATTGACGTTGACAAATAGGCTGCGCTCCAACAGGCGATTCGATAGCTTGAGGATTGACTCTTCATACGCATACGCCGAGAAGATGGACGCTAGTACCCCTCGAAGATCTTCCAAGTTTGGAGATGACGCAGCCGCTTGTGTTAAGAATGCCCTGAGAATGCGCAGGAAAGACAGGTTGGAACCAGCATTTGACACCAGCTTCGACCCCGACAGAGATGTCGTCTGGCTGGATGTCGTTGTAAGCAGCGCCGTAAATGTGTGCTGAACCAGCGACCGAAGAAGAGCCACGAGTTTCTCCTCATCAAACTCGTCGTCACTCATGTTCTGCTCAGCAGCAGCGCTGAGAGCAGGTGACAATTTCTTGGTGATTTGCACACACGCATCGATCAGACTCAACCATAAAGCCTCGTCCGGTGACAGCGCCTCAGTTGCCGATTTTGGAGTCTTTTGTACCAATTTCGACTTCTTAGTCAATGATTTGGTCTGGCCTTGGCATAACCATATGCCAACATGAACATATTTCTGGAGAGCTTCGAGAAGATCCTCAGCGGCGTACCCAAGACTTGGTCCCGAATGCTGTTCCTCAGCACCTGTCAACAGTCCATGCATTGCGGACTCCAGGGTCTTGAGATGCTTGACAAGTCGTTCCATAGCGTCCTTGACTTGGCCTTCCCGAGCCATCAACACAACGGCCGCATCAATCACACCAGTCTCCTCCATCGTCGGCAGCAGCTTTTCGAGCCTCAAGTCAGTTGACTGCACAAGACCAACGTAATCAGATACATGAGACGGCTCAAATGTACACATAAGCTGCACATAACGTTCGACCAAGTCACGAGCGGCCACCAACTTGTGATCTGCTGTTGGCTCCTCTGGCTCCAGCAATGTCTTGAGATATGTGTGCTGTAGGTCTGCTGCATCCTCGGTAGAGTCGATCATGTGCTGATGTAGCTCCAAACCCTGCTCTGCTAGAGTCTTTGCAGTTAATGCGGCATCAAGTTCAAGTAATCTTCGTGCATGTTCTTCAACAACACTGAGCACTTCCTGAATCTGACGTCCAGTCAGTCCTGAGTGAGGTCGCAAGCATTCGCGGAGGCAATCGAAAACCAACTCTTGGTCTTCCGGGTCCTCAAAATACGTCTGGACCAGATTGCCATACTGTTTATCTGTCTTGTATATGCGTTTCAGGATACGATAGAATCCTGCCTTCTTGAACAACGGCATCAAGTCAGGCATGTCTGACGGATGATAGACAGAGAGCAAATATTCAGCGCTGAGCTGTGCATCCTCAGCTAGGTCGAGGCCTGGATAATTGCACAGACCAGTCAAGACGCGCGAGAGTGTTGTGCCTGAAAAGAGAAGGTATTGTGGGAACTTTGGAAGGTTCCGCGCAATAAACATGTCGAGGTAGATGGTATCCTCAGGAGCAAAGTCGTTTGGATTCATGACATCCAGCAAGATAGAGAGAACATATTGCCGGTTTATGGTTTGTCCAAAGATCTGTTCTTCCGGCATGTCTCCCCTAGAGCCGTTCATGTGCTGATCGGTGGAGTCATTCAGGAAAGGGTCCTCGAATGCTTCGTTCAACGCGCTCAGAAAGCTAGGGGCATCCAGTTTGAGAATCATACGAAGGTAGGGAAACGATGGCTGCGACTCAGAGTTGGGGATGGTACGGAACTCGTTCCCACTGCCTTTTGGCCAGGTAATAGTTCTCCCGGAAAAGAAAAACCAGTAAATCTCAGACTTAGCTTTGGTTGCCATCTCTTCACTCATGGCTTCATCGTTTGGATACACCCTGCCAGTCAGTGTATAAGACAAATATGGGAAAATCTTGAAGGCGTTGATGCTGAAGAAGTCGTCTGCTGGATTGTTTGCCGTGAAGTCCCCGTCAACCATGAGGGGTATCAATAGAGACAGAAGATCAATCATCGGAGTGATATAGTCACCAAGTGCCTGATTCCAGACGTAGATCAGAGCATCGTACAAGCTGTGTTGCTTACACAGTAATGTTATCTGGTCAAGGTCCAGTGTCACTGTCTCCATGTGGCAGATCATTTCCTCAAGTCTACTCTCCCATCCTCGACTGACGTAGTGCTGGACCAAATCTTTCACAACAGTTGGAGGCACCATCGTGATGGTCTTCTCGAGGATATATGGTTCGAGACACTCGAGAAATATGCCTCCAATATCAGCATCTTCGTACCAGTCATACATGTCCTCGAAGAGGAAGTCCTGGTTGTCGACGGCTTGACAAGCTGTGAAACAGGTCTCTGCTAATTGCTTCATGTGCTCATCGTCGTAACTCTCAGGATCCTTCTGACGCTGACCAAAAGCATACTTCAGAGAGGCACTGATGATCTCCATAATCTTGTCACGAACCATGGTGTGACGCAATGAAGGATCTTCTGGCAATCCAACGGTGAGCTTGTCTGCGTCGCCAGTATAGTAAGAAGTGGCAAGCTGAATAGCGCCTAGGTAGTCGCCATTTTCCATCATAGCAATAAGCCTGTCGGCCCAATTTGACAATGCGCCAATTGAAACTTCGTTGAAGCCAAGGATAAATATCCTCCCCTTGTACGCTTTGAAGCTCATGTAGAAAGCATCAGCTACGACGCCATGCATCGAGGAATCGTTCTCATCAAGCTGTTCCACAAGAGTGTGCAGCTGCTCTGAGAACAGGTCTGCGTGGTATATGTACTTTTGCACAAGATCGAAGCCCTCTGTCATGCGCATGCTCCTGTCTTCAAGTACGATCATTCTTTGAGAGATCGTAAGCACCGCTAGTACTGAACGGCTGAGCCATTGCACAGCAACAATCGCTTCTTCGCACTTCCACCTGCTTCGTGCCTTGAATCTGTACGACGCAGGCTGGTCCTTATCTTCACGGGGATACTCGTCTACATCCAGCACTGTCAAGATATTGGACCAGCAGTACGCAAGCTTCACCTTCGAAATATCGCTGCCAGTTTGAGGGTCAGGAACCTTCAGTTTCACTGCTGGGAACCATGCCAAACAGCCTGTCATCGCGCTATGAGGGGGAACATCCTTGGGCCGCGCCGACTTGTGTTGAGTCTGTGCCACTGGTGTAGTAGATACAATAACAAGAAGATATGGCGTCAGCATGGCTGTCAAGCCTAGGGTGTCTGTTGAACACTCAACATTGCCAAGGGGTAGAGGTGCGAAGGCAAGGACGGTGCTAGGCTTGACCGTCTTCCCTGGAGGCATTGGCGCATCCGGATATCGACCAAGAATCCGATGAGTTTTCACGGTTCGCCCAAGTGCACCGGTTCCTCTAGTCGCCAGATGCGAGAAAGCCATGCCCTTGTTATCAGCTGAAACAAGGGCTGTATGGCGTGTTCCCAAGAACCCGAGGTGAGTGATAGCAACGTCAGGAACATGTCCATCTACCGTGCGATTTTGGAGCTGCGATGGTTCCAAATGTGGTATTGTTAGGAAAGGCCTCGAGGCACGGCCTGTATCCCAGGTAAAGATGTTTCCACTCGCATGTCCTCCTGCAATTGTAGTATGATCTGCGGATATCGCTATAGCAGTGATTGGCCCAGATTCGACAGCTGAACCATGTCAGTTTCATGCAGCGCAGCGAGCGGATTGTAACCTACCTTTAGTCCCTGGACCAATAATCATTTTGAGATTTTGGTTATAATCGAACACTAATATGATACCCTTCGACGTTCCAAGTACTATCGTTGCTGATACAGCAAGACAAGTTGGGGAACCAAAGTTTCGTTTCCCTGCCTCAGAGAATGCATGGCCATTGAGCTTCCGTAGCTTTGTCCAACGAACCACCTCCCACGGCGGCGTGGGTGTCTCTAGATCGGCTTGGTCGAGGAGGAATTGCGAGCTTAAGGAGACGTTACGGCTATGGCTGGAAAGAAAAGGAAATGCCGGAGACGACGAGCGAGGTGTATTAATTGCCGAGGAGGAAATTCGCGACTGAAATCGGCGATCGAAAGGTCGGAAAGATGGAGAGGGGCTGCTCAGGCCGGGACGGGAGGCTACAGACGGGAGAACGCTGCTTCCAGGAGAGGAGACAAATGATCCCTGCGGGAGGTTAGAAT